TCGTCCCGGATGTGAATGTCACCAAAGCCGTCCAAGCCGCCAAAAAAACACAACCCAAAAAGAAGAAGAAAGACGACGCGGAGAGCTCTGTTCAGCCAGGAGCCAAAGACGCTAGCACCGGCTTCGTTAACGTTGTCGCTGGTTCTTCCTCACACCGCAACTTTGCTGCAGAAGTGAAGGCCATTCACGGCACGCGCGACGCCATGGAAGCAGACACCGCTCGGTTCGACGTCCGCCATCTGAAGCCCATCGCCCTCTCGACTGAGAAGAGGATCAAGGCGTGCGAGCGCTATTACATCGATTATTTCACACAGCTCTTGGGCGGCGTCGACAAGGCCCGCGCCACACTAAACCCTGACGCTCCCTTCCCTCCTCTCCCCCACATGAAGCAGTACATGTACTTTGTCGCTGTCTATGGTAAATCGGGTTTCGGTATCCCCGGCGTCACTGGGTGGTCAGTCCACACCACCAGAAAGTTCCTTGGTCGCACGTTTTCCATGGCAAGTGCTTCTTTGTGTTTTTTGGTCTCGCTAACGACAATTTGTTCCAGATGAGGCGCGCTGGAGTCACCGCCCCCACTCGTCATGAAAGGGACGAGTTGATGAATGTCAGTTCATTCGTATGCTTACTTTGTAGATCGTCGCTCACCCGCTACAGGCTATCACAACGTGGTCGAATGATAAGCTTCTCAACTCGCACAGACGAGATAAACGGATCCTGCGCGAGCAAGACCTCCGCGACCTACTTACCGTGTGCATGCAAGCCTCACTGCCCATCAAAACTAATTCACAAGTAAGCTTCCTGCCCAATTGCCTGATCTGTATTCACTCGAGCAGCGACTGCAAATCATGGCGCTCTGCGCCTTTCTGTACACGCACGGGAGCCGTCCCGGCTCGATCGTCGAGTCGCACTATTACAAAGGCGAGGGGCAATATCTAAAATGGGGAGTTCGTAGCATTTCTCTTCTTTCCTTTTTTCTCTCCGTCTCAAAAATTACCAGGACTCCGAGTGGGTGGTCTACGGCTGGGACGAGGGCGTCGGTCTCGGGGTGCAGTCTTTTTGGACTTTCAATTGGTACAAGAACATGAGGAACGACGACTCCCTCAAGTAAGACTGCCTGATATGCTATGGTCCACATCGCTGATCGTCTTCTCAGGATAAAAACTAATATGCACAACCTTGGTCGAGCACATGCCGATATGGATCCACAACTCATTCTCGAAGCCCTCGCCATCGACGCCGACATCTTCGAAGAAGATTTACTAGCTCTCCGAAAAGCAGATCCCAAGGATCTCAAATTTCCAATACGCCTGACGATCAAGGCTGAGGCCCGCGAGCGCCCCGTCTTCGTTGCCGCCGATACAGAGGGTCCTCTCACCCTCTCTGCTTCCCAGCACCATGTTGCGAAAATCCGCAAAGCGTTAGGGTGGTCTGGTAAGTTGTGTGCTCGTGTGTGATGTCTTTCTTTTACTCAATGTTCATCACAGACTTCTCGTTGCTAAGCTTTCGATATAGCTTCGCCTCTTCGTTGATCGACAGGGTCTCTAAGGTATGTTCTCATCACTTACTTCTCCATTCGACACTTCATTAGCCATGTAGACCCATTTACGCTACCTGATGGGACACGCTCAAAGTTCTTATCACGCTCAGACGACCTACCAGGCGCCGGATCGCCCGGTGGATGTCACGGGAAGTCGATTCAATGAGGAAAATCCCGCTTTCGCATCGCTCTCGGAGGCGCACTCGTCGGTGTCCTGGAACCGCGTTGCCGCGCCCTCTGACGAGAAGGTCTACGGCGACATTTATTTGAAAAAACTCACACAAGATTATGCCGACTGCGAACAGGAGGTAAAGGCCAAATTTGGTGAGGATGCGTCCTCACAACAACTCCTTGAAGCCGTGTGTCCCTGTTCTCTTCGCCACCGCAGCATTTTACTCACTGGAATCTAGGGAAAGTCGGATAAATGTGTTGTGGATGCTGTGGAGAAACTGGCAGAGATGCTCGAATACTATCTCTCCTTGTCTTCCGGGGTAAGCTCCTCCCTCCTTCTCTTCCTTCGTGTCTGATCTTGATGCCAGTCGTACGTGCCCCTCCCACCGCGTTCTGCGACGGCGGCTTCCAGTACCTCCTCAGGTTCCGCGACACCATCTGCCCCATCGCGCTCGATGACGCCTGCGGACGCCACACCATCCACCTCGTCCTCGTCCTCAGACGCCAGCGCCCGCCTCGTTGAATCCATGATGCAGGTCTGGGTGACCGCCGACGACGCTCATCCTTTTCAAGCCCTGATTGCATTGGAGCCGGTCAACCCTCGGCTCGCGATCATTCAACGATATCTTGCGCTGCTTCAACTCGACCGAGAGGATTTGAAGGGGCGCTGCATATACTGTTTGTCTAATGAAGAACTTTCAGAGCACGACCGTAACAAAGACCACGCGCAACACTTTGCTCAGCATTTTTCAACGTGTGAATTGGACCATCATCCCAATCATTGGCGATGCCCAATTTGTGTGACTCTCGTCCCTGTCCCTCCGAAAGGCTGCGGCTTCCCCACCATTGCCACTGCCCGACCCTCCGACGACGACGAGACATTGGACAAAATGGAGGTGGAAGCGCTGCACGAGGCCGCGGCGGAGCACGCTAGCGAGTGCTTTAAGCGCTTCATGCGCGTCCTTCGCGGGGAGCCAGAGGATGACGATGAAGACAAGGCGCTCGATGAGGATGGACTTCCCCTCCTCGACGCAGACGTTTCTATGCCGCTGGCCCCGCCGTCAACAACCAAGCCGGACAACGCCTCCGCCTCCTCTTCCAAACCCGTCTCCACCTCTTCCTCAAAGGCCTCCAGCTCGCGATCTAAACGTTCCGCCTCGATGGTATCGGTATCGGAGCCTCGAGGCTCCGCGTATGACTCGGACGCGACTATGGCGAGGTATGTTCTGTGATACATCATTGTTTACTGCCGCTCATCCCATGATACTAGCGGTAATGACAGCGATATATCCATGCGGTAAGTGCTTCAATCTGTTGTGCTTATACTCTTGTACTCACAACAACGGCAGGAGTGTCCTCTCCGCACGATCTATCGCGGGTTCACACCAGAAGAAAAATAAAGAGGTTGACGATGGCGGCGCGTGAGTTCTTGTTAGTTTTTCCAATGTATCCCTGTTCATCTTGTCCTAGTGGTGCTCGCGTCCTTTGCGTCCAGATTGCGTTCACGCAAAAGTTCCAAGGACGTCAAGGACGTCTGCAAACCTACTTCTTTTGCCCGGTTTGCCTCTTCGACACCACTCTATCGTGGTATCAAAGATTCATGTCTGTGGTCTTATCGACGAGTTGTTGTGATGGCTGACCTGATATTTTCAGCACGAATCCCGACTTACCCAAACTGATGATCCACATGACCACCCATTGGAATCAGGACCCAATCGACTACGACAAGGAATTCGTATGCGGGTTCCCTCAATGCGGGTCCCTTGACGGGTACGTTTGTTTGCTCGCATATTCACTCTGTTTTGGCTAATCTAGCGCTCAGGTTGGCCACCGGTGACTATATCATGCACCTCCACCAGGAGCACGAGTACAAGCTCGTTCAGTGCACGACGCACTGCAACTTCGATGAGTGCGACCCGCGTCACTGCACCAAGGATCACCACGACGACTCCTGCTTTACGCTCCCTTCAAAGCAATTCTTGTTCCACGAAGATGCGCTGACGTACGCCGACGCACGTATGGGCAAGCATCAACGTGCCCTTCCTACCGCCACCCTGGCCGATAACCGCAAAGGAGCACTGAAGAAGGCCCGTATGGAGGCAATCTTCAAACGGCACAAAGTCACAAAGTTCGCTCCCGACATCCCGAAAAAACCAAAGGCAGTCAAGGGCAAGGGAAAAGCGAAAGCCCCCGCTATCGATCCCGCCGCCGTCCGCCTCCAGACCTGCCTCTTCGAGATCATGGCGAATAGCCCCCAATTCTGCGGTATCAACATCAAGAAGTTGACCGACGCGGGTGTCACCGTGGAGGCACTTGCAACGCTAGCAAGGAACAAGATCCCTCCGTGTGATTATACCTTCACGCTTCAGACCTACGTTGCCTTCAGCAACGGGGTGAAGAAGTGGCTGGAGGATGGCGCGATCACCGACTGCGATGTAATGCTCAAGGAGGTGTTCCCGGATTCCGTCAAGAAGCTCAACATGCCTGCTACCATGGCCGCGATGAATCTCAAGGTCGGTGACCTTGTCGGGCTGTCGGCCGAGGACGCGACGGAGATGGGTTTCGTTGCGGATGATGAGTTGTGGGAGAGGATCAGAGCAGTCATCAAAGACTGGCTGGCGGGGCGTGGTAGTACTTGAATTCCGTATGATGTTTTGTACATGGCGCAGTAGTACTTGGCGTATAATGTTTTGTACAGTGTATATACGCAATCATTCTGTGCGTTTGTGACGTCGGAACCGCCTCGCCAATTCAGTGGATTGGCGACCTGAAAGTTTTGCCAACTCGACGAGTTGGCGAACGTGGTCAACCTCCCGTCTTTTCAAGGTTTTCCCGCACCATGCCCAGGGCATATCTGTAACTACAAATGTGCAGCTGAGTACGCGATCGCATTGTGCACGCTAAACCTCCTCATTGCCCAAACTCGGCATCCCACTCGCGAAATCCAATATCGTACCGAAATTCTAGCTCTATTCTTTTTTCAAAGTTCTCCGCGACTCGACAAACCGTGACGAGGACCTCAACGAGTCGACATCCGACATCCATGCAGTCTCTTTTGGACTCTCTATTCCGAACTTCGGCCTCTTCCGCGCCTCCTTCACTTTCTCAGACCCATCCCAAGCCGACCTTCTTCCCCCTACTACCCAACGCCAAACCGCCTCACAATGTCAAGCTTGGCCTCTGTAGGCATTATCTTCAACGTCTCGGAATCTCACCAACTCGACGAATTGGTGAACTGTGACCGTCGTCTATTCTCTATGAGATGCCTCCTTTATATAGCTTTTCATCGGCCCGCTTGGCCAAGCGGTAAGGCGCATCACTCGTACCACGTGACGCGGAATGATGAGATCAGTTGTTCGAATCAGCTAGTGGGCATAACTTTTGCTTTTGGTGACGTTCTTTTGTCGAATTTATTATCCATTTCGACCTGACATTCTACCCTGCATTAGAGGGCTCTCAAAGGGCTCCTGGAATGGTTTTAATGCGTGTTTTTTTACTCATTTCCGATGTTATGTCAACGGGCTGCAGAACAAGCAAAGTCCAGGCGAGAACTGCTGCAGTGTCCGGATACTTCGAAAGTAGTACACTCAACAGAAACTTCCGATATGGCCCGGCCGCGGTGCTACAGACTCCGTAGCTATTGTGTATGAAGATACTTCAAGGAAGGGAGGGCTACATGTGCGCAACATGTACAGCACTATGTGCAAGGAGACCATTTATGGAACCCTTGTTTCTTTTTTTTTTTTTTGAGGGGCGTTAAAGGTAGGATGTACAATGACATAGTCTCATACCCCTGCCCGCTAAAAGTTTGAGGCCATGGGACTGGAACCCTTGTTTCGAACCACGCACATGATGTGCATTGAAATTATTTGGCTGGGAGATGTCCTGGCATGCGAGTGCTGAAGATAAGCCTTGCAAGTACTTCGCAAGTCTCTTGATCTTGAAATCAGTAGAGTCAAGACACATTACATGATTGTGTTGTTGCTGCGCTGTTTGAACTTGATCAGTGAATTGACTTGGCCAGCTTGGAGGTCAGCTTGAGCCCTGAGCAGATAGAGTATAAGATATCCGCTTGGCTTGAGAAGTATGTAGGGTTAAACTTGGTCAGCAAATTGGCTTGAGCGAATTGAAGGTCAGCTTGAGCTCTCAGCCCTTGTTGACTGGTAGATCATGAAGAAGTGCTAGATCTCCGCTTGAGTTGGGACATGTATGATGGAGTTGAAGATGAAGAGGGCGGGGGATGACCGCTGACATAAAATCAGAGACGGAGCTACAGGGTTGGGAGGCGGAAGTCAGATATGCATAGGCTTGACGAGGGAGTCCTAAAGGTGTGAAGTTCTTCGAAGATTCAGACTTGAGAGCCATATCTTGGGTATTGAGAGGACAATGACTTAGAGAATTGCCTGTGAAATAGCAGCTTGAGGCTGGAAATGGCAGAAAGCAAGGAGTTCAACAGGCATGAACTTTGACAGCATTACTTGAGGTAGCGAGACGCTGCCAGTGAGGCATGAGGGCTAGCGGGAAAGGGCGGGTTAGGTGTACATTTGACTGGCGCGGAGCGTGGATGATTGAGATCGAGGTGCAGAGAGAGCGCGGAGAAGGAAGACGGACGACGAAGCTTTGGATTGAAAGCATGCGAACGAGTAGGTATTTCGGGACCTTCGACGGTGGCCTGTACCATGCATTCTCGGAGGTCCAACTACTTAGCACCCAAGCACGCCTAGTGCTAGCATGGAAATAAGACGAGGTAGGTGGCGGTAGAGCACAACTCAGCCAGCGACCAGGGGATCTCGTATGCAGGCCGGCACGGCGGCCCATGGGCAGATGTATGAAGCATGCCACACGACAGTTAGCGCTTGAATTAAACTTGAAGGCTGAAGGACAAAACGGCAAGAGTCAGCCTCAATTCCAGCTTAGAGGGTGGCAGAGCGCGACGTACTACGAGTTCGAAGGCAGCAAAGAGACAAAAGGGTGCCTACGGCGAGGTCGATGAAGAAGAGCTGGCGATGGCGAAGGAGAGAAGATAGGAGGTGTGGGAAACTGTTTGAGACTTGTTTGGAACGTTTACCTCCGAGGCTCGAGTCTACGGATTTTGCGCGCGATCGACAAAAGGCTGCACAGCTGTAGCCTGCCCAGTACATCGAAAGAATCTCCTCCTTCCGAATTCCTTTCATCCAAGAAAGTGTCGCGTGAACACCGACTCAGGGGCCCGTTCAATGACGATGCATCATGAAGGCCTTTCGAAATTCGATTTGGGCACCCTAACCTCGCCGGAGGCTTGTCTACTATGTAGACGGTCTACCATGTGGAACTTCTTTGTTGACTGCTCTAACAATGGCCGGGTCTCCCGCCCGTTGTTTTGCCCAAGCAGATTGCGCGAAATATCTTACGTCCAACCTTGACTTCGTTGGAGCGTTCTGAGTTTCTCTTTCGCTCTTCAGTCTAAAGCGCTCCCCTGCCGGTCGAATGTGGGCAGAATACAATTCAACCCAAATGCCAGATCAACCTACTGCACGAGCCCTAGTCACGATGAAAGTTTTGGCGCTCCTCGACCCTTGCACAGCCGGGGCTAGTGTTGCCGCGGCTCGGCTCGCGTGACAGTCCGGCTTGAGCGCGGCTCAGCTTCTTCCGTTCTACATGATAGTCTTAGGGCGGATTTTTGGTTCGGGGAGTCTTCAATGGATACCTAGGTTTATTTTTCTCCGCACAAATTATACCTCAATATTTGTGCTTTGGCTGGTACGATGCAAAAGAGGCTCCGTGGCTCCGCGGCTCACTGTCACAGCTCGAGCCATTGAAGATGGCTCTTCAGGGAGCTGCATAGTCCGTTTCAACTGAAAGTAGGGAGCAAGTATAACAAATATCCATCACAAAAATGACCTCCGCTATTTATTTGGGCAACCTGAGTCCTTGTTCGCATTCAGAAGGTCAAAAGTTGCTTTGTGACAGGCGTGACCGGCTCAAGCCGCGGCAACACTAGCCGGGGCACTCTAGCACGCCTACATCGGAAATTGGCGCGAACGTCGAGCTGACCATCGACCGGCCCTCTTTAGGGCCTAACCAACGAACCCTCGTCTCTGTCTCTCTCTGCACGAGCATATTCTCTACGTACTCGCTTCTCGCTCGACGGTAGTCCGGCAATATCTATGATTCTTCCTCTCCGTCGTACGCAGCTGAGTCTGGAGTCAGTGCAATGCATCCTCCACCACAACGCCTAGGACAACGTATACCTATACTTCAGGCATGCGTACTTGAGAGTTGATGTACCTCCTCGCAGCTCGTCAAACCGGTAATGAGTGTAGGTCCCTGCGCCTGAGTGGTACCAAGTCTCGATGGTGGAAGCCGGATGTCGGTTTCAACGGAGCCAAAATAACCGAGGATAGCGTATCATCTTGCTGTACCAACGACACCAGCAGATTTCGAGGGTGAAAATAGCATTCGTTCCAAAGGTCCAACAAGTCTTTGACGTTTCGGATTGGGTCAGGGGGAATGTGTTGTGCGCTGAGATCGGGGTCACCTCTGGTCGTGTAGATCTGACGAGTGGAGAGTATGTTGAAAGAAGGCAAATCGCGTCGACGGTTTTTTGTCGAATTCATATGTTGCGAAGATTCAAGACCTAGATTGGGTGACCCGGGGCCAATTGTAGCGAGCGCAGGTGGACCAGGATCAGCGGCTTGTGCTGGTGGAATGAGGGTGTAAGTAGGAAGGTCTTGTTCAGTCTTGGGTGATACCAGCGCGAGTTGGCCCTTCCATGCACTCGAGATATCCTGGCGCGTTGGTCAATTTCCCAACCGACACATGAAATGAGGCATACAAGTATGAACCGGTCGAAATCGTCAGAGGTGATTGCGTCAGCCCACTGAGGATTTGTATGGCCTGTAGTCAGAGTCGCAACGTCGTGTTGTCGCAGCTGCATGACGGTTGACGGAGCGACAGACTGAGAACAGATGGCATCCGGTGGTCTGAAGAAGGCAGAAGGAGGAGAGGTCAAAGGGATGGATGATGCCAGCTTCTTCGAATAGTGTGGGGGCTCATGTGGAGGGTTTGCAGGTGAGGGAGTGTAATAAGACTGCTGAGAGGAGAAGGAGGAGCTCTGTCGAGGTTGGGGTCCATCCGAAGGCGAGGGTGAATTTCTGGGCAACGATCGGACCCCAACCTTCTGAAAGTCGGGTGTAGTCAAGGCCTCCCTTGTCCACTCGTTTAGAGTTCTCGTCCACTCTCGGTCGAGTGGATCTCCATATCGATGAAAAGTCCTAACGATGAGGACGAAGTAGATTACGCCGAGAGCAAAAACAAGTGTGAGAGCAATCCGAGAACCAAGTGCAGCGCGAGCGGACAGTGTAACATCGACAGAGTCCCGCGAGGATCCGGTGAGCCAGATAAACGACATGATGCAAGCGAGGAACATGATGATCGACCTACAAGGGGTCAGTAGTTGTAAGAGAGACAGTTGGTGCACCCAACCAAGCTAACCAGACAGCCGGCTGAAATTGCTTGATTAGGAATGTCTCCAACTTTGCAGAGTGTGCTTACCATGGCGAGAAGAACCCAAATATTCCACCATACATTCGCAGATTGCTTCTGTGCTTCCTAGGCGGACACTATCCGTGAGTTACAGAAGCCCAGTGATTGCCAGTGTACTGACATTCGCAAAACTGCTGGCCTTGTGCATTTTACGCATAGTTTCAAACCTGATTATAAACATGCATCCAAACAATAAACTCATGAGAGCGCAGATCAGTGAGAACAGCGCCGAAGTGCGAATAACGGGGTGTGACGCTTGCTCAATCTGGAGCATCGTGAGTATGGCTCTGCGGTGCCCCCAGTCAGCAAGCAGATTGTGGAAAGTCAGTGGCACGTACGACATCAATAGAACGGAAATGATGTTAAATGTCTTCCATTCGCGCAATAAAGCGTCGATGAAACTCTCCCAAGATGATCGAAACCTGAGGAGACTACTGGGCAGCGGCATAGGGTCGGGGTTGGTGGTGGTTTGCCAGGCACCATCGCGAGACAACTCCCACTGATCGGGTTTTGCGCATGCCATGCGCTTGATATCCGGCAGGCTCAGTCGCGCGTCTTCAAATATACGCGTGACTCGTGAGAAGTAGAGCGAAGGAATACGCAGGAGAAAGTGAAGGTAAAACTGTCCTGGGATAAAATCGGAGAGGATAAGGACCACAAACATGGTTCTTTGAAGCAGCGAGGAAGATTTATTGCTGTCACTGGTTACGGGTGGGGGTAAACCAGTGACTGAAGCTTGTCTTTGTGGCAAAGGCATTCGAGGGAAGTCATACGGTATTGGTCGAGGAAGTGGCTGGCTGAGCCGCGAGCCAAACAATACTAGCGGTTGAGACGTAGGTGGATCCGGAGGG